ATGGATCAGCCACAGGTATACATATTTCCCCTCCCTCTCGTGCCTCCTTCCCACCTCCCACCCCATCCCAATTCAGATTTTATAGATGAGTAAATTTAAGGCTCAGATAAGTTAATATATGCATTTGAAGTTACAGTGTTTAAGTGATAGAGCTACGAACATTTTTGGTTTTCTGACAAAAACAATGTTCTTTGTACTCTCTCAATAGCCTCTAATAATTACAAATAATTTATTTTTTATAATTAAGTTACTGCTGTAGATAGGTTCTCTCAGTCACTCATCTAGGCACTGGTGATATAAAGGTAGATGAGGCAAATTAAGTAGATTCAGTATGAAGCAGAACTGTGAGATGAGGACCTCCCTGGTGATCCAGTAGTTAAGAATCTGTCTTTCAATGCAGGGACATGGGTTCAGTCCCTGGTTAGGGTACTAAGATCCCACAGGCCGCAGCACAACTAAATCCTGCGCCACAACGAAGACCCAGCCCAGTAAAAAAAAAAAAATTGGTTAACATTAATATTAAAAAACAAAAATGAACTGTGGAATGGTATTATACAGAGATAATTTTTTGATGAGAGTCGTGGATGTGAGAATGCTCAGAAAAACAGAAAGAAAAAGCATCAGAAATATTTTGGCAAGAGAGAAGTTTCAAGTCAGAGAAGGAGAAATATCATATCCCTTATATGTGGAATCTAAAAAGAGATGATAGAAATGAACTTACAAAACAGAAAGAGACTCGCAGAGTTAGAGAACAAACTTATGGTTCCCTGTACACGCTGCTATATATAAAATGGATAACCAACAAGGACCTACTGGATAGCAACTGGGAACCCTGTTCAATGTTATGTGAAGCCTGGATGGGTGGGGAGTTTAGGGGAGAATGGATACGTGTATGTGTATGGCTGAGTCCCTTTGATATTCACCTGAAATTATCACAACATTGTTAATCTGCTATACCCTAATACGAATAATACAGAGCATGAGACGGTGGTATGGCATCATCAACTCGATGGACATGAGTTTGAGCAGGCTCTGGGAGTAGGTGATGGATAGGGAAGCCTGGCGTGCTGCAGTCCATGGGGTTATAAAGAGTCGGACATGACTAAGCGACTGAACTGAACTAAATACAAATAAAAAGTTAAAAAAAAAGGGAAGTTTGGAGATTGACAAAATTTATATCTACCTCAGAGATTAGTCAAGGGTCAAGAGAGATTTATCCTTCTTCTAGAATGGTAATCATAGGCATGCCTTCTAAAAATAGGTAATCATAAATACAGTAATTATTTAATGTTATTTCTTTATTTCAAATTTTAGGTCCTTCCCATATTATTCCATAACTTTATGACATAGTTCTTAGGATGCTTATCATTCACATTTTTATGACTTCCCAGATCATAAATTTATTTATTTATTTTTTTCCAGATCATAAATTTAATAGTCAAATTAGTAAAAATGTTTAAATGGAGAATAAAGTGACAGGAGCTAAGGGACTGGCATGAGGAGCTTGGAGGAATGTGTTCAATATATGAGACAAAGCAACAGATGTAATAAATAAAATTTGACTTGGGAATTGGCTGGCAGTCCAGCAGTCAGGCCTCTGAACTTCTACTCTTCCACTGCAGGGTACACGGATTCAATCCCTGGTTGGAGAACTAAGATCCCACAAACCGAGCAGCAAGGCCAAAAAAAAAAGTAAAAGCCAGAAAAGTGAAAAATCTTGGCTCTCAGCCTCCAGAGAACCAAAACAAATGAGTCTTTCTAAAAATTAATGATCTGTACTATTCTTACTGTATAATAAAAGGAAATAGATCAGTTCATGTAAGAAACTGCCTCTATTGTATCTTTGAGAGTTTTTTTTCCCCCTAATATCCCATTTTTATAAGAATGAATAAATGCTGTTTTTCATGGCAGTTTTTAAAAATGCATCAACAGTCTTCAAACAGACATCTGATAGGATGCCACCCGATCTATGCCCCCAAAAGAGACAGCCTTATCCCCATGCCAACTCAGGAAGGCAAGCCAAGCAAATGACTGAACGAGTCTGACCCTATTATGGAAAGTGATCCTATGTTGCTTACTGCTTACTTACTGGTACACCCTGAATTCTTTGGGAAAAAAAAAAAAAGAAGAGCACATTTCACTTTAGTTTCATTTCTGCCATGGTGTTGCCTGTCTGACCCTGGCCAACTGCAAAAGGTTTCTGTTTCCTAGCATGCTTGTTATGCAAGCACATCATGTGTTCACCACTTCCTCTTCTTCCTTGGCACATGGCTGGACTTGTCTCTTAGCCATCCTTAGAGTTAGGTTGGGCCACAGGTCTGATCTTTGCTGAGTGACCTTTGCAAAGGTCAGAAGTGACATTCGCCATCTCCAGTCCTTGATTCTGAAAAAGACCTTTCACACAGCATAATGCTTTCCTTCGCTGTGTGCTCCCCCTGGCCCCCCACCTCCTGTGAGCCAGTTGATGTAGAGAACTCAACAGAGGACTCCAAGGCCATAGGAGACGGTGCAGTCACCAGATGGAAGGAATCGAGGCCCCTGAGTTACTGCAGGGAGAAACATTTACCCAAGAGACATTAGACTGCAAAGTGAGTGAGAAATAACCCCTTTCTATGACTTAGCGACTAAACAACAGCAAGAATGTGCAGATGCTAGATCGTCCTTTGTTTCCCTTTAGCATCTTCTGAGAAATTGGCTCCATGTCATTATCTAGCTCAAGGTCACAGCCGAAGTCCCTACATGTCAAATTCAAGATGGCCTCTCTTGAGTCTCATTTCCTGGGATTCAGGTCCTGGTATGCCCCACCCTCTCCACCACTGAATCATGGCTAGCCAGTGTGATCCAAGAACACTGCAGAAGAAATACTATATGACTCCAAGCCTCGGCAATTTCCACCTTGGTCCATCTTAGGCCACTTGCTCTGTAGGAAGCCAGCCACCATGTCACGAGGACATTTAAGTAGCGCCGTGGAGACACCTGCTGTTGTTTAGTTGCTAAGTCCTGTCCGACTCCTTTGAAACCCCATGGACTGTAGCCTGGCAGGCTCCCCTGTCTACGGGGTTCTCCAGGCAAGAATATTGGAGTGGGTTGCCATTTCCTTTTCCAAGGGATCTTCCTGACCCAGGGATCAAATCTGCGTCTCCTGCACTGGCAGGTGGGTTCTTTACCACAGAGCCGCCAGAGAAGCCCATGGAGAGACCTACACGGTGAGAAGCTTAGACCTCCCACCACCCACAGGTGCCCACTTGCAGCCACGTGTGTGCCCCCTGGGAAGCACATTCTGTGGCCTCAGTCATGTCGAGAGATGACTGCAAGCTAACAGTTTGGCTGCAACCTCATGAGATATCCTGAGCCACCAACACACAAGTGACTCCTGAATACCTGACCCAGAGAAATGGTGACATCATAAATACTCACTGTTATTTTAAGCCTGCAAAGTAGTGGGGTAATTTGTGATACAGCAGTAGATAATACTATCTGTCATACTGCTGCTTGTGAACATCCCTATAGGGACTTCCCTGATGGTCTAGTGGTGCAGACACTTCACGCTTCCAAAGGAGGGGGCCCAGGTTCTGTCCCTGGTCAGGGAACTAGATTTCATGTCACGACTCAAAGTTCACATGCCACAACCAAACATCTCACATGCTGCAAAGAAGACTCGGCACATCCAAATAAATAAATAAGCAAAAATAAAATATTTTTTTCTAAAGAGAACTTCTATATTCTGTTTTTAAAAATCTTTCCCTCTGTATTATTGGACATAATTGATACATAACATTGCATAAATTTAAGGTGTACAATGTAATGACTTGATATATGTTGCAAAATGATTACCAAATTAACTAAGTTTACACATCCATCACCTCACATAGTTACACTTCTTTGTGTGCGATAAGAACTTTTAAGATCTACTCTTAGAAAATTTCAGAAAAAAAAAAAAAGAAAGAAAATTTCAGGTACATAATACAGTATAAACTATAATCATCATGCTATACCTTACCTTCCCAGAATTTATTAGTCTCAAAACTGAAGGTTTGCCCAGGAATTCCCTGGTGGTTAGAACTCTGTGCTTTCACGGCCGAAGGCTTGGGTTCCATCCCATGTCAGGGAACTTAGATCCCACAAGCCACTAGGCTCAGAAGAAAAAAAAAACACTGAAAATTTGTGCTCTCTAACAACTTTCACTTCTGCCCCTGGTAACCACTAACCTGCTCTCTTTCTATGAGTTCAGTTTTTCTAGAGTCCACACGTTAGTGAGATCATACAGTAGCTGTTTTTGTTTGACTTATTGTAAATAGCAAAATGCCTTCAAGTTTCATCTATGTTGCTGCAAAGGGCAGGATTTCATCTTTTTCATGGCTATGTAACATTCCACTGTGTATATACATACCACAATATACCACATCTTTATCCACTCATCTGCTGGTGTATACTTAGACTACTTTTGTGTCTTAGCTATTGTAAACAATGCCACAAGGAACATGGAAGTGATTTCCTTTCCTTCAGGTATATAAGGATTGCTTTGGCCCTCAGGCCATTTTGTTGTTCCATACAAAATTTAGGATTTTTTAAAATTTCTTTAAAAATGTCTTTGCAATCTTGATAGGGATTGCATTGAATTTATAGATGGCTTTGTGTAGTAGAGATGTTTCTTAACAATATTAACTCTTCCAATCCATGACCATGGGATATCTTTCCATTTATTTGTGTCTTCTTCAATCTGTTTCATCAATGTCTTACAGATTTCCACGTACAGATCTTTCACATCCTTGGTTAAATTATTTCACATCCTTGGTTAAATTAATTCCTAAGTATTTTATTGTTTTTGATGTTTATTGTAAATGGAATTGTTCCCTTTAATTCTTTTCCAGATGATTTGCCGTTAGTGTATAGAAATACACAAAAATATCTAAAAACATCTCAATTCTAATGGTGCTTACTCTTTAGTGGGTCATCAGTGCCTATTCATGAAACAGTATGTACACAAGAATTCATTCGATTCATCTCCAAGTCACAGGAAGTTGTATCATCCCCGTCGCTAAAAGGATATAGGGTGGAATCATTTGGTAATGACAATTTTGAAGAATAAGTCTGAACTCTATGAGCTGATTCTGATATCTTCTTGAAATCTGTAAGCAGGGAGGGAGACCCTGAAATAAAAAAATAGGTTAGAATAATAGTTATCTTAATGCCAGGAACATTTTAAAATATCATTTGGAAAAACACTGAACTACTTGCGAGAGAATACAAATGGGTCACCTACATTCCTTCAGTAAGATGACACACATCAAAAAGGAAAATTTTTTAAAAAAAGGAAAATAAAGATATCTGCAATTCAGTATAACCAGTATGTTTTGTAACAACAATGATGACGATGATTAAATCTGATTATGGAGCCCACCTATATCTTGAGCTTTCCCGGTGGCTCAGTGGTAAAAAATCTGCTTGCCAAGCAGGGAAGGCAGGTTTGATCCTTGGGTTGGGAAGATCTTCTGGAGATGGATATGGCAACCCACTCCAGTATTCTTGCTTGGGAAATCCCATGGACAGAGGAGCATGGCGGGCTACAGTATATGGGATCACAAAAGAGTTGACCATCACCTATATCTTAGATCAGTTTATCCATTCCTTTTTCCCTCTTATTTGCCACAAAGAGATTATTTTGCTCTCACATTTTAAAAGATAAGTTAATAACTAAATTGCAATATAAATGGCAAAGTGATGGTGAGAAGAGCACATATTAAAATGATCAGGAGAGAACTTTGAAGAAAGATGCTCCTTTTTGCATCAGAATCTGTCCATTGCAGTAACTTACTGAAATGATGCAGTAGAGTTCCAATGCATACAAGTTTATCCACAGAGGGGGATATCTTGGCCAGTGAGCTTCTTTCCCACAGGGGTAGTTGACAAAATTCCTCCAGCAGTGATCATACTCTAAGGAAACACAAATCTTGGTTCATGCAACACATACAATAGAAAGTTGAATCCAACTTAAAAATATACCATGTCTAAATCCCTCTGGCCTATTTCCTGCTGGAAAAGGACTAGACTCTTCCAGCATCCCTAAAAGGAACTGGAGTGGGTGCCCAGTCCCTTCTCCAGGGGATCTTCCTGACTCAGGGATAGAATCTGGGTCTCCTGCTTTGCAGACAGATTCTTTACCTTTTGAGACACCAGGGAAATTTCCCAAAAGGAGCTCAGCAATTCATTTTAAGATGGTAGAGAGGGGGCTTTGCTGGTGGCTCAGTGGTAAAGAATCCACTTGCCAGTGCAGGAGATATGGTTCAATCCCTGATCCGAAAGCCACAACTGTTGAGTCTGCGCTCTAGAGCCCAGGAGCCACAACTACTGAAGGCTGAGCACCCTAGAGACCTCACTCAGCAACAAGAGAAGCCTCCACAATGAGAAGCCAGAACACCGCAAGTAGAGAAGAGCCCATACTGTGATGAAGACCCAGCACAGCCAAAAATAATTTAATTAATTAATAAAGTAAATAAGACAGGAGCGAGGAAAAAGCCATCTCTTTGATGCTTTCTTTGCTATGAATTTCAAAAGTGGGCTTTTACACTATTTTGGGCTTTCTCTTCGGAGACTTCCAGTCTGGGATAATCCAGTCTCCTGGCCTAGAAACATACCACCACCACCACAACCTCTCATAAACACCTAAGATTCTTGGTTTGTTGTTTTCACCTGGGGCTCTCATGACCTGGATAGTCACACCGCTGTGAAACAGGTCTTTGAGTCCTTGCCGGTTTTGCGGATCCATGTGCTGGAAAAGCCGTGCTACGTAAATAACTAGGGTCACATTAGGATGCTGATTCAAAAATTCTCTAATGGCCTTGGAGCATTCCCAGCAGGGACTCCAGGACAAGTACCAGAAGATGGAGCAGCTGATGGATGGGCAAAAATATCTTTCTGAAGCAATTTTTTCTATAAAATTGCGTTCAACATGCTTGGTGGTGTTTTTGCCCGAGTGTCGCCAGACGTCCCGGCTGTTGCCCCACTGGATTTCGTAGAGCAGACAGGCCTCTTTACAGAATTTTCTGGGGTCAAAGGAGAATTCAAATTCCCAGGGTTCAATTCTTCTCCTGAAATATAAAAAGCACCCCCCCCACCCACCCCATGTCGTCATGTCATCATTTGAGGGAAGGCAAAAGGAGAAGAGGGTGGCAGAGGATGAGATGGTTAGATAGCATCATCGACTCAATGGACACAAATCTGAGCAAACTCTGGGAGAGAGTGAAGGACAGGGAAGCCTGGCGCGCTGTCATCCATGGGGTCGCAAAGAGTCCGACCTGACTTAGCGAGTGAACAACAGAAATAATTTCTTCTTTAATTAGCCTCCAACTAATAAAAAAAAAAAAAGAAAGAAATAATTTCTTCTCCTTTTCTATCAAGCAAACCTAAAACATGACATCTCAGGAATTTTTTTTCTATTCTATATCTCAAAGTTATCTGGGGAGGTCTGTTTGGATTATCAGAGTTTCTCTCACAAACAGGGAAGAGATTTTCTTCCAACTCATGTTATTGGGTTACCACTCTCTATACCACTGCTTGGTAGTCTCGAATTCAGGTGTAAATATGTCTTTCTTTCTCTTTTAAAGTTTTCTTACTATATTCTAATCTTATTTATTTTGGCCTCACAGCTTGAAGAATCTTAGTTCCCACAGCTAGGGATTGAACCTGGGCCCTCGGCAGTGAAAGCTCTGAGTCCTAACCACTGGACTGCCAGGGAAGTCCCTCTGAACTTTCTGTCTCAGACGTAGAGGTGACCTGTCTCACTCAATTGTCATTATTCCTCAATGGAATAGATTTTTTTTCTTTTTCAGGTGTGGAGTCCTCAAATTGCCAACAGAAGTCTATTACCAACTCTGCGAAGAAAGTAATTTAGCCTCAGGATTCTTCCACATTCAATTATATGTATACTAATTCCTCATAAGAAAGAAATTCAAATTTCTCTCGAGGGCATCTTTATTTTTTTTTCCCCTAGTTATTTTTATTAGTTGGAGGCTAATTACTTTACAATATTGTAGTGGTTTTTGCCATACATTGACATGAATCAGCCATGGATTTACATGTGTTCCCCATCCTGAACCCCCCCCCCCACCTCCCTCCCCATCCCATCCCTCTGGGTCATCCCAGTGCACCAGCCCCGAGCACTTGTCTCATGCATCCAACCTGGTTGAGGGCATCTTTAGACCTAACACTCTCTGTGGGTCAAAGTTATGACTCAGGGAAAACTTAGAATTATGCCAAGGACTCTGAAATATGGTTGAGTCATAAGTTTATTACATTCTCATATTCTCAACTCATTCCTAAAGGATCACGTAATTTATTTTATAGAGCAACCCTCCCACCCATCAAGAGATAATATGTTCCCTGACAAATCTCTCTGTTCTAGACTTACAGATGAGGGCAGCGGGGAGGAAGGAGAGGGTGAGATGAATGGTGAGAGTAGCATGGAAGCATATATACTATCATAAGTAAAATAGATAGCCAGTGGGAATTTGCTGTGACTCAGGGAACTCAAACCAGAGCACTTTAACAACCTAGAGGAGTGGGATGGGGTGGGAGGAGGGAGGGAGGGTCAGGAGGGAAAAGACACATGTACATCTATGGCTAATTCATGTTGATGTATGGCAGAAATGAAACCAATATTGTAAAGCAATCATCAATCAATTAAATATAAATGCAATTTTTAAATAGGTCTAGGGAATTGCCTGGAAGTCCAGTGGTTAGGACTCCGCTCTTCCATTGCTGGGGGATCTGGGCTCAATCCTTGATTGGGAAACTAAGATCTCCTAAACCATGAGGCATGGTAAAATTTTAAAAAAAAAAAGGTCTAGAAAATGGGCATAGGGTTTAAAATAGGAAGATGCAAGTGACAAATCAGTTTGCTGAACTTTTCACTAATTTCTATGAAAACTTGTGATTTAAAGAGAGAAAAACAATAGTAAGAGAATAACAAAAGAAAGCTGGAGGATAGTTTTTTTCAACTAAAACCCAAAGGCATAGGAGGGAAGACACAGGAAGAAATAATAAGCATGAGGAGTGAAGTTGCAAATGGGAGCATCAGAAAAGAGGAAAGGAACAATAAGGGAATTGTAGTCCTGCCATTCCTACATGCTCATTTATTCTGGGTTGAGTTAAATGTGCACTATGATAGTAGAATTCTTACCTCAATGTGGGATCTCCCGCTGGAGGACCTGTTGACCAAGAGATGATCACGTCAAGCAACACCCATATGTACGAATCGAACCGCTAAGAAGAAAGGCTCTATTCTTCTAAACCCACAAATCATATCAGAAAATGCAGGTGGAGGATTCTCTCTCGGGATTTCCCTGGTGGACCAGTGGTTAAAACTCCCTGCTTGCACGGCAGGGGCAGGGGTGCAATCTCTGCTTTCAAACCTAAGATCTGGCATGCTGCCCAGTGTGGCCAAAAGCAAAAGTCAACACACACAAAAAGGCGTCAAGGGCCAAGTAAATGCGTCTAAAGCACTGTTTTAGACATGTTATTCACAGGGCTTCCCAGGTGGCTCAGTGGTAAAGAATCTGCCTGCTGATGTAGGAACCGCAGGAGACTCGGGTTTGATCCCCAGGTCAGGAAGATCCCCTGGAGGAGGAAATGCAACCCACTCCAGTATTCTTGCCTGAGAAATCCCATGGAAAGAAGAGCCTGGTGGGCTACAGTCCATGGGGCTTGCAAAGTCAGACACAACTGAACACGGACACATGCTATTCACAAGTTCTCCAAATATTTTATCTTATTGAAAGAAAAATACACAGTAAACTATCAAAAACCATAATGGAAAAAAAAGAAATCTAAAATAAAATATCAACCTCAATTTTCTTAGCTGGGCATTCAAGACTGTCAACATGTCTTCAAATTTGTTTTTGGGGGTGGGGAGAGGGATAAATTTGGGAGATTGGAACTGACATATGCACATTACTATATATAAAATATAAGGACCTACAATATATAGCACAGGGAGCTCTACTCAATGCTCTATAATGACCTATATGGGAAAAAAACCTAAAAGGAGTGTGTACATGTATATATATAACTGCTTCACTTTGCTGTATACCTGAAACTAATACATTGTAAAGCAACTATAGTCCAATTTAAAAAAAGAAGCAAATTTACTTTCTAATCACATTGCTGATTGCTTCCAAAAACTCTTCTGTAGCCTGATCAATTCATTCATTATATTCCACACACAATCTTCAGAAAATTCCCTTAAACTCCTGGTGTCAGTCAAACAGGAATCTCCTCCTCTTTGCCAACCAAAATTCTGCCCTTTCAAGACCAAGTTCAAAACCCACCTCATCTGAAAATCATTTCCTTCCACAACCTGATATTCTTCCTTCCCCACGAATTTTTCTAACACTAAGTAACAGAACCTTAAATAATCTATTAACATGCCCTGGTGCTAGAACTTCAGCTGCTATCTTAAATTTTCATCTAGTAGTTGTATTTTTTAACTTTTTTATTATGGTGAAACAAGCATTGCTTTAGTATCATCTGATTAAAATCATTTACAGTATGAACAGGTGTTATTAATAATCACAACACCACCAATAAGAAGAACTCCTGTTTAAGAATAATATGAAAATATTAATAAATAGGAAAGTATGAAAATGCTCATGAATACAAACATGAAGCAGACACATATGCACACACATATAAGCAAGCACACACAGAGTTTTGGAGCTTTTCAAGAATATGGAGATTTCAGGCCCCCCCCGACCATTTACCTCTGTCAGAAGCCATGGTGCTCTGTCTCTGGACTTTTTCCTCTGGAGTTATATAGTGCTAATTGCTGCTGCCCAACAACCTGCCTCAACATAGTTTCTGCAGGTGTGACCACTGCCACCTGTTTGATCAGAGGATGACTCATTCCTGAGTCTCAGGCAGATACTAGGTATCTAGACCGTACAGAAATCAAACTAGTCAATCCTAAAAGAAACCAACTCTGACTGTTGCTAAAGCTGAAGCTCCAATACTTTGGCCACCTGATGCGAAGAGCCGACTCATTGGAAAAGACTCTGATGCTGGGAAAGATCGAAGGCAAAAGGAAAAAGGGGTGGCAGAGGATGAGATGGTTAGATAGCATCACCAACTCAATGGACAAACTCTGGGAGATGGTGAAGGATAGGAAAGCCTGGTGTGCTGCAGTCCATGGGGTCACAAAGAGTTGGACACAACTTAGTGACTGAACAACAACAACAGACTGTACAGACAGGTAGCAGATGAAGAGGGCAGTTGGTGGGGGTTGATAAGAAAGCTTATGATGCAGATAATTAATATTGTAGCCTAATTCACTGCGAATGGATGTAGGGATATCTCCCTTTAAAGTTAAAACAAGACTGGCACATTGCTGTTTATTGGAGAGAAGAGAGGAAGAAGAAAGGAAAGAGCGAATTGGCCTGCCTGGTTCTGTGACCTGAAGGTTTTCATTGTTACCTGGTAAAACAGTGAGGCCTTGCCCTTCTGTTCAATAATTAAATTCATTAATTTCTAACTTCCTCTTATTTTACTCTTCACCTCAGATTCTCTTAGAAATGGGTGGGGCATTATAGATGCAAAATCAAAAGAACTTTGGTCTCTGAGTCAGGGAATTATTATAGTGTACAAGTTTCAGGTGATTTCTCTTGCTTCATGAAGCTAAGATTAAGTGTATGGCCCTGTCCACTTCCGCTTCCTTATCTGCCTTGAAGAAATAACTCCTATACTCCCTATTACCATTGCCTCCTGTTGCCTGAACTCTCTGGGTTTGAGCAAACACACTCCCAGAATTGAGGTCACCCTCAAGACTTAAGGCTCCCTCTAGGGCTTCCCTGGTGGCATAGACAGCAAAAAATCAGTCTGAAATGTGGGAGACCTGGGTTCGATCCCTGGGTTGGGAAGATCCCCTGGAGGAGGGCATGGCAACCCTCTCCAGTATTCTTGCCTGGAGAATCCCCATGGACAGAGGAGCCTGGCAGGTTCATGGGGTGGCAGGGTCAGACATGACTGAGCAGTTAAGCACAACACAGGGTCTCACAACTACAGCCCCTCTACTTTAAGTCTCAAATTCTATGAACCCTACACCTAAACTCTAAACATATGATTTTCTCAATCACAAAATCAAGCTGGAGCTGGACAAGATGAAGCAGATGTTTGGAGTGGCAGGCGGAAGTTTTGAAGAAGGGGCAGAAGTGCCACATCATAAATAAAGGTCTTTCAGGAGCCAAGTCCATGGGGTCACAAAGAGGTGGACACAACTGAGCGACTGAACTGAACTGATCCCTGGAACATGTATATATGTTACCTTACAGTAGCACAGTAAACTTTGCAGACTGACTAAGGTAAGAATCTTGAGGTAAGATCATCCTGAATTATACAACTGGTCTTGATCTAGTCTTAAAGACTTTTATTTATTTATTTTTCTGGCTGCACTTCTTATTATGCTGAACTTCCCTGACCAGAGATTGAACCCACAGCTGCTGCAGTGGAAATACAGAATCTTAACCAGTGGACCCCCAGGGAAGTCCAGAGACTTTTATAAAAGGCAGGCAGAGGTCTTCCCTGGTGGTTCAGTGGTAATGAATCCATTTGCTGATGCAGGAGACATGGGTTCCATCCCTGATCCTGGAAGATCCCACATGCCCCTAAGCTACAACTATTGAAGCCTGTGAAGCTATCTAGAACCCGGGAGCCACAACTACTGAGCTAACAAGCCATAGAGCCTGTGCTACACAACAAAAGCCATCGAAATGAGAAGCCCCTGACCACCACAACTAGAGAAACGCCCACACAGCAATGAAGACCCAGCACAGCCAAAAACCTAAATAAATAAATAAATTCTAAAAACAAAAAAAAAATGTAAGGAACGAAACTGGGTCACTTGTAGAGCTGTGGATGGACCTAGAGTCTGTCATACAGAGTGAAGTAAGTCAGAAAAACAGGTGTGTTAGTCACTCAGTCATGTCCGACTCCTTGGGAACCTATAAACTCTAGCCCGCTAGGCTCTGTCTGTGAGATTTCCTAAGCGAGAATACTGGAGTGGGTTGCCATTCTTTCTTGAGGGGATCTTCCCAACCCAGGGATTGAACCCAGGTCTCCCATGTTTTAGGAGCATTCTTTACCACCAGAGCTACCAGAGAACAACAGGTATTGTATATTAACTCATACATGTGGAATCTAGAAAAATGGTACAGATGGACATATTTGCAGTGCAGGAATAGAGATGCTGATGTAGAGAACGGACATGTGGACACAGGTGAGGAAGGGGACAATGGGATGAATTGGGAGTAGGCTTGAAAGAAATACACCAGCATGTGTAACATAGATTGCCAGTGGGAACCTGCTGTTACAGCACAGGCAGCTCCGATTGGCGCTCTGTGATGACCTGGAAGGGTGAGATGGGGTGAGGACTGCAGGAGGTCCAAGAGGGAGGGATATATGTATACATATAGCTGATTCACTTCATTGTCCAGCAGAAACTAACACAGCATTGTAAAGCAATTATACTCCAGTTAAAAATAGACTATAAAATATAAATGTTAAATTTAGGTTAGTGTCCTATTCCTGTTATACATTTTTTAAAAACACATAAAAAAACAAAAACAAAAAAACCATGTAAACATATACCCTTGTAATCACTCCATAGTCAAGATATTTAAGCTTGTCATCACCACCCCAAATTCTCATGTTTGTTTGCAGTCAGTCATTCTACTCCCAGTCATAGGCAACCACTAATGTTTCTATCACTAAAGATTAGCTTGGATTCGTCTATAATTTCATACAAAAGGAATCATATAATGTGTCAAACTTTGATGATTGCTTTTGTGAAATAAAATTCACATTTATGGCAAGACAAGACAAATTTAAATATAAAAATTCTTCTCTGGGACTTTTCTGGTGGTACAGTGGATAAGAATCCACCTGCCAATGCAGGAGACACAGGTTCAATCCCTGGTCCAGGAAGATTCCACAGGCCCTGGGGCAGCTAAGCCCAAGTGCCCACAGCCCCAGCTCTGCAACAAGAGAAGCCACCACAGTAAGAAACCTGAGCAACACAGCGAAGAGTAGATTCTGCTCGCTGCAGCTAGAGAGTAGCCCATGTTCAGCCACAAAGATCCAGGGCAACCAAATATAAAAATAAATTAAAAAAAAACCTCTGCCCTTTGACCTCTCCCCCTTCACATTGTGAATTGTGTATTTACATTATGCAAGAACCAAACCTCCCCCATTGGCAGGAATACCTGTTCAACCATAAACTGCAAATCCTAGTATCAACAAGACAAATCCTTAAAAGATAACATTCCTTCTTGATCTTTATAAAGGGTTTCAGGACCCATCACAATGGGGCTTAAATCTGGAATACGTACACTGTCCTTTAATGTACAGCCCTCTGTCTCAAAAAACTTACATGAACTGTGTCTCGACTTCTAATGAGCAGAACGGTTCTCAGAGCTTCCTGGGTTATAATCCTCAAATTTTTCTGCAATAAAATTTTTCAATTCTTTCTTGTATAAACTGATTAATTTTTCATCAACACATTTTTTGCTCAACTACTTTGTGAAATTGATCTACATGATTAGGTGTATCAGTGGTTCATTTCTTTCTATTTCTGGAATTCCATTATACGGTTATGTTACAATTTGTTTATTAATTTATCCTTTGGTGGACTTAGGCTAATTTTATAGTTTTAGGCTATGGTGAAGAAAGATGATGTGAACATTGTGTACAATTCTTTGTGTAACCTTTTTTATTTTCTTCTCTTGGGTAAAGAAACTGGGAGTGAAATCACTGAATCAAATAGGTAAGCATTTAATTTTTAAGAAAATTATTGGAATGTTATAATACTTTACACTCCGACCAGGAGGAAATGAATATCTGAGTCGTTTGATGTTCTCCCCAACATTTGGTCAGCCTTTCTAGTTGCGGTGATTTCTGTGGGTATGTAGATTTTAATTTGCATCTCCCTGGTTCTTAATGATGGTGAGCATCTTTTCATGTGCCTGTTAATTATTTATATATCTTCTTTTTTGAAGCCTGTTTGAGTGTTTTGTCCTTTTTTAATTTTTATCTCCTTACTAATTTGTAAGAACTCTATACATATTTTAGATACAATTCCTTTGTCATATCTGTATATATGTTTTCTGTATATATATTTTCCTTAGTATATACCTGTATATATTTATATGTATCTGTATATATATATATTTTCTTTAGTCTCTGACTTGACTTTTCATTTCCTTAATGGTGTCTTTTGAAGAATAAATGTTCTTAATTTTGGGGAAGTTCAATTTATCAATTTTTTTTAATCGTTAGCTGCCGAGGTCCAGCCCCACCAGGACCAGGAATACCCAAGGGATGAGTGGCGTCGGCGAGGAAGAGGACAGACACACACAGAAGGTTGCGTAGAAGAGGTAGCTTTTTTAAAATTTTTATGATAGCTCAGTTTTTATAGAATGAACATTACCTCCCCTTAAGTCACCACATATTACATCAGATATTGTTTTGTGCTTCTGTCAATATTTTTCTTTCCCATGTTTTTCCCCTATGCATTCATCTAGAACGTTTCCGATTACAGGGTTTATTCTTAAATGTCCCATACATAGTCTTCTTGCCTCAATGGCCTAACATTTTCATTCTAACAAAACAATGTTCTACAAATCTCAGGTATAGTGTAAATTCTTTAGACAATAAAACAATACATGGGAAGGGTCACAGTAACATGTTTGACATTTCTGAGAATAGTACCATGAGAAAAACCTTGATAT